AAACCTTTGCAAAACACCGCAAAACACACCACAAGCCTCGCCGAACGTCTCCTTGCTACCGCGACCTTGCCCACAGGAAGCCGCGACCGCGTGGCAGCAGGGAAAATGGCCGCGGATCCGGTTCGTAAGTCGAGGCGAGGTCGTATCCTGAGGTAATTTTTTCCTGCCGAAGCTGGTCATAACCCGAAACGTTCGTTAGTAGAGGCGTTCGTATCCCGAGGTATCACTGTATCTTCAGCTATATTAATGTTAGCAGTATAATTTAGACAGTGGGATTATTTTTAATGTTTGCTGATTTATTGGTAGCTACTGACCTACCTTTTTCCCATTTGTGACATAACATGTACCACCTTTTTTTTCAGTCTAAAACTTTGCCAGTGTTCAATCATACTTAAAATTACTGTGAATTTCTTCTAATTTTTCTTCTCCTCCTACCTTTGTTTTAAGGATGCTTCTTGAAACTCAGACGAAAATAGCATTAAAAGATGCAGAAATAGAAAGAATCAAGGAATCAAGTATTATGCAAATTGCTAATCTACAAGCAAAACTAGAGGAGCAAAGTGAAGAACTAAACAAAAAACTTGAAATAGAAAGGTGAGTTTCAGCTTTCTTGCATGGGATCTTCAGATGAAAATAATTTGAGTCTTTGGGAAAAAGAAGTCTTCAGTAGGCATTAGAGCGGTGGTGAGCAACTTGGGGCTCTTTGACAGGAATGCCCAACATTTTTTTCAGCTAAGACATGAAGTTGGCCTTTGGATGGCTTGTAGTTGATCTTACTCCCAAAAAATGGGACCAGGACAAAAAGTACAGTAGATAAAAACTTGCTTTGATTTAGTAGAATATAGCCAATATTATCACGCTCCATGCATTAAAAAAATTCCCCTACTGCCCTGCTTTTGGAAAGATTCAAATATTTCCAAAGTCCAGGGGTTATGCACTTTGGCAGAAATTGGCAGAATTTCCAAAGCCTGATATTCAGATCTTTTATTGCAAACTGCTTTGAGATGCTTTGGCATATAAAGAGAAATATAAATATATTAAATAAATGAAAATAATCTGCACATTTGCTGTCATTATTTGGCGGGGGGAAGGTACAGGAGGTGTCAGACAAAAGGGTATCAGAAGAAAAGA